TTCACCAACTTCCACCTGGGTCGATCGCAATCTTTGAGGATTTTACTGGCAAGCTTATCAATCAATATTCGAGCGCGGTGGTGCAGGAGAAAACGTATTTGACTTTGATGGCGATGAGGCAGGGGGAGAAGGAATCATTAAGGAAGTATGTTGCTCGATATAACCAAACATGTTTAGAGGTGCACTCGGCTTCGGATGAGGTGAAGGCGGGTGGATTGATAAGAAGTCTTCGAGCAGGGCCTTGTCTAACTTCCCTAGCAAAAACCCCTGCTCGATCATATGAGGATGTGCTGAAGCGGTGCAGGAAGTATATTAACTTGGAGGAAATGGAGATGGAGTTCGCCAAGTTGGAGGGAGTGGCTCGACCAGAGCCAAAAAAAGAGAAAAGTCCGCAGAGGGGGAGATCGCCGAGGAGGAATTCGCCCAAGCGGAGTGGGCAAAAAAGGGCATCACCTCGAAGAGAGAGTCGAGATTCGAAAAGGGATAAGAGGGATGAGTGGCAGAGGAGGCCGATGTTGTTCGAGAGACAAAGATACCACACTTTCACGCCCTTGAGGAAAGATATGACGGAGGTTCTCGAGGCCATGGAGCAAAAGATGCCGAGTGAGGATGTGACTTGGCCGAAGACGAGGTTTACAGGCCCAATTCGACCCAGGTCAGATATTTACTGTCGCTTTCATCGAGATTATGGTCACACCACGGAGAATTGCAGACATTTGAAAGATGAGATCGAGAGGCTGATTCGAGCAGGATACTTGAAAGAATTTGTGTATCATGATAGGGTGAAGGGGAAAGGAAGGAGAAGGTGTAGGGAAGACTCGGAAGAAGGAGCGATAGAGATGAGGAGGGAGATGGTAGAGACGGTCGAGGAAAGAAGCCAAGGAGAGATGGTGATAAGGGAGGACATGGAGGAGAGGCCCCAATGAAGAGAGGAAATATTTACATGATCTCCGGTGGGCCAACTGATGGTGACTCGAATAGGGCTAGGAAGGAGCATGCTCGAGCAGTGAAGAGGAAGAGAGAGGAGGTGGGAATTACGGCCCACATGCCGGTGATAAGTTTTAAGGCGGAGGATGCCGAGGGAGTGGTCCTGCCGCACAATGATGCTTTGGTGATAACCGCGGAGGTCGCAGGCTTCGATGTGAAGAGGGTGTTCATTGACACCGGGAGTTCGGTAGATGTGATATTCTATGATTGTTTTGTGCAGATTAACAAGGAACTGAATATGGAGCTAAAACCGGTGACCACGACACTTTACGGTTTTAACGGGGGAGAAGTTATGCCGATGGGAGAGGTCAGTTTGCCCGTGGCATTGGGATCGGGAGAGTTGAGGAAGGTGCGCATGGTGAGATTTGTGATTGTAGGGGCTGAGTCGTCCTATAACATCATCATGGGGCGGACGAGTTTGAATGCATTCCAGGCGGTCGTATCCACGTACCACATGACGATCAAATATCCGGTGGGCGAAAACGTAGGGGAGATTGCCGGGGATCAGCTCACTTCGAAGAGTTGCTACCAAACAACGGTCAGCAATAACAAGCAATTGGCGAAGAGGCAGGCCGAGTCGAAGGGGGAGGAGATTAATTGACCAGGGGGATCGAGGTCGAAGGAGGATAAGCAAAAAGTGGAGAAAGGAAAGGATAAAATGGATATCCAACCTGGGGAAGAAGTCGAGGAGATTCAAATGATCGAGGGATGTGAAGAGAGAAAGTTCAGGATCGGAAAGGATCTGGAAGAGCCTATTCGGTCGAGGTTGATCCAGTTGGTTAGGGAGTTCGCTGATATTTTTGCCTATACAGCAGAGGAGTTAACGGGAATAAGTGCGGGAGTGATCGAGCATCGGCTAAACATCGACCTCAGTGTGAGGCCGGTGAAGCAGAAAAGAAGGCACAATGGGGCAGAGATGGACAAGATCATCGAGCAAGAGGTCGAGAAACTGTTGGGAGCACGACATATTAAAGAGATTCAATTCCCCGAATGGCTGTCGAACACGGTGATGGTGTCAAAGGCGGAAGAGAAGTGGAGGATGTGCATTGATTTCCGCGATCAGAACAAAGCATGCCCGAAGGACTTATACCCCCTGCCCAGAATTGACCAACTGGTCGTCTCAACAGCACGATGCGAGCTGTTGAGCCTGATGGATGCCTCCCAGGGATACCATCAGATTCCCTTGGCTAGAGAAGACAGGAAGCGGGTGAGTTTTGTAACAAGTCGAGGTACATATTGTTACGTGGTCATGCCGTTCGGCCTAAAGAACGCGGGCGCCACGTATCAAAGGTTGGTCGATAAAATCTTTAAGGAGCAATTGGGGAGGATAATGGAGGTGTACGTGGATGACATGTTGGTGAAAAGTAAGGAGGGTATGGATCACGTACGAGATTTGAAAGAAACGTTCCTAACATTACGAAGGTACGAGATGAAGCTGAATCCCACCAAATGCTCTTTTGGGGTGAGGTCGGGAAAATTCTTGGGTTACTTGGTGACCAAGAGAGGTATCGAAGTTAATCCGGAGAAGGTTCGAGCTGTAATGGAGATGAAGCCGCCGGCGAATGTTAAAGAAGTGCAGATCTTAGCTGGTCGAATTGCGGGGCTGAGTCGTTTCATATCGAAGGTGGCGGAGAAGAGCGGCCCATTATTCAAAACGCTGAAGA